CGTGCGTGCACATGCAAGTCCTGGAGCTTGAACTCAGGGCCTAGGCACTGTCCCTGAGCTGCTTTTGCTCAAGTCCAGCATTCTACCACTTCAGTCAGAGTTCCACTTCTGGCTTTATGGAAAGGTAGTTTATTGGCAATAAGAGTCTCATGGTCTTTCGTGCTGAGGCTGGCTTTGAACCACGATCCTCAGATTTCAGCCTCCTAAGTAACTAGGATTACAGACATGAGCCATCAGCACCTAACCCCCTTGGGATTCTTTAGAACTTTCTTCTACCAGGAGAATAGATGGGGGCCACCCAGAGCTTAGTCAGGCCCTAGGAAGGTGGCCCATTTCTTTCCACAGTATTCCCACACTCCCTTTCTCCAGCTATAGATTTGGACTTGCCTTCAAATTTCCTTTCCACTGAGTACTCCATGTCCCAGTAAATCCTCAGTCCAAGCAAACTGGGATGGTGGACTATCTATGGATCCCTCTCCACCAGCTTCCATCTCACCAGATCTAGAGAGGAAACCTCTGGATCTCTAAGTCTAGTATCCATTTGGTGATTTGAGGGTCCTTTAGGGACCACCTACCCTTACAGTAACCCTCACTAGTAGCTAAATTCAGTACCTAACTTTAACAATAGGCCTTGGTGCTGGGGTGATTGGTGACTTGAAAAGGAATGGCCAAACATGCTGGCCTAGGTCAGGTAGATTAGGGCCAAAATAGTCCTTCATGAGGCTCTGGCCTCTCAATGCTCATACCCCAACGGGTATAAGAAAGAAAGGCCAAGACACTATCTGACACTATCTGGCCACAGGCAGGCCCTGAGCTTCCTGTGCACTCATGTATGTCCTGCCTAGTGGCTTATTGGATTATTGAGAGTGGGGACGTTGGACCACAGACTGATTAGCCATACCTGTCCTCTGAATCTGCCTGCAGTCAGAAGCTTCCAAGTTCCTGAAGACTTCAGGGAGCGTGTGGAACAGCAGAGCATTGGGTCTACCACACGGCTGCTCTCCCAGACTGATTTTCCCCTGCAGGCCTATGAGCCCAAGGTGCAGGTACCCTTCCAGGTGCTTCCAGGCCAGTGCCCTCGCAAGATTGAGATTGAGAGGTATGCTGGCTCAGTGGGCTGTAGAGTGGGGCCTTTTCCCAGGAGGTGATGTCTGCCCAGTTCAAGTCAAGAGACTGTAGACCCCTAAGTGTCAAGCCCCACAGCACAGTGTGTATACAGGTGTTAAGATCAAACTTAGCCCTTTGGTCTCTTCATAGGAACAAATAACTTTTCTTATTAGGGAATTGGGGAAGGTGACATTTAAGTCAATGAAGTGGGACTGCCAAGAAATGGCAATTAGAGTCCAGGACTCCCTCCCCGCTGCTATGCCATTTTCTGACCAGTTTCAGAGGGGCAGATGACACCAAAGGGGTTTCTCCACACCCTTCTACACACCTCCTGGGACCTGTGGAGCCATTTGATATGAGCCATCCTTCTAAGACCCCTGTCTACCCTGGCCAGGAGGAGGCGGAAATATCTGAGCCTGGACATTGAACAGCTATTGGCCAGAGAGGGTATTGATTCCAATAAGCTCATGCCCAGGCATCCGGACTCTCAGAATCCACAAACCATTGAACAGGGCCATGACCCACTCTTTCCCATCTATCTTCCACTGAAGGTGAGCTCAGTGCCGCCAATTGTTGATGGACAGTGTGTGTGTCTGTGTGTCTGTATGTCTGTGTGCAGGACCCCAGTTGAGGCTTAGGAGTCAGGCCCCAGAGGAGATACTACTCTGTCCACATGAACTCACTTGTCAAGCCGTCTGAATAATCAGGACCCTAGATCCCTCTAGCATCCTAGGCTGGGTGGGAGGGGTGGGAGGAGCACTAAGTCCTCAGGGAAACTGATTTTTTCTCCTTTGGAGCCAGGGCAGCCTGTGTGTCTGATCTCTGTCCCCACCCTTTCCACAGACACCTAGAAGCACCCTGATTGGGCTGTGCAGTAGGGTACAAGTCTCTCTAACTAGGGCCTGTCCAAAAGTAGGGAGCTGTTTCTGGGCTACTGGAATGGAGAGACTCAATATGAAAGAGGCACCTGGGCCATCTCCTTTGTGTACAAATGGGGAAACTGAGTCTGGGGAGGAGAGACAGAGAGACAGTCTGACTGTGGCTTTCATTCACTTCTCTTCCCATTCCCTGTGAGTTCTAAGTGGCTCTGGCCTGGGGTCCCTTTGGGGAAGCAGAGCTAAATCCAGATGCTATCCCCTTTTCAAGGGCTACCTCCTGATAGTCCTGAATATCAATTGCTCCTCAGTTAAGTTAGGGTGCTCAGGAAATCCAAAGCTACCTGTTTCTTCCAGCCTGAGCTGCTGTTTGGAACAGTAGGCAACAGAGCCTACATTCTTCACTGAGTCCCCAAATGCCCCCTGCCTAAGCCTAGCTTGACTGCACAGGGATACAATTCCCCCACCCAGCTCCAACTCCCCATTCCAACCCTGTGTGCTCTTGGAAATAGCTGAGGAAGGGCTCCGCCTGTCCTCAGCCTACAGCTCACTCTGTAAGAGGCCTCTGGCATGTTCAGCTCTATTTAACAGCTAGGGAAACTGCTTCCTCCACACTTTGCCTTCAGGTTTTTGACAATGAGGAGTTCGACTGCCGGACACCCAGAGAGTGGATCAACATGGGTTTCGATTCAGATTCTCAGAACAGGAAACCTGTTCCTGGAAAAGCCCTCCTGCCTACTGATGATGTCCTGGGGCATGGTGAGCAGGGTTAGCCTGGGATCCAGGTGCTGTCTTACACAGCAGCATCTTTGTGCAGGTTTCCTGGGCTCCCCTAGAACCTGACAGCCTTGGGATGTTACAGAACTTTTGAGGACTTGGCTGGAGTAAAGCCCAAGAAACTGGCCACACTGAAGTAGGAAATGCTGGGACCAGGGACAGTATTGTCAGGAAGGCTAGAAATAGAACAGCTGGATAGAGTCTCATATATTAAAAACAAAACAGAAACCCTTTGATTTATTGGTAATAAAAGACATATGCTTGTTCGAAATGTTCAAAGATCTGTGAGGGGCACAGTTGGAATCCTTCGATTCCTACCACCCAAGAATGATTATTGTTCCAGCTTTTAGCTCTACATGGACCACACACTGTAACACACTTCTGTTACATACATCCATAATCATAGTCACTGTCACACCATACACACTCACACACACATTTTCTTTTTTACCTACTATTATTATATTTACTTTTGTAGAGTATACATTGGATTTTCCCTCTCTTGTTTTCACTCATCTACCCATTTCCCCTTGACCCCACCCCACCCCTTTCAAGTATGGGCTTCCTGGTGGTTTTTTTTCTTTTTGCTGAACTTTTAATTTGCCTTTCTAGGGAATTACACTATTTGAGTTCTTCCCTGACACTACCATATTTCAGTAAAAGAGTTCAAACTCTGTAATAAAGTTTGAAGTTTGATATTGTTATTCCTCCAACACTATTCTGCCAGCTGAGGATTGCTTTTGCTGTTCAGAGTCTTTTGTTGTTCTACATGAACTTTTGGATTGTTTTCTCTCTCCTTGAGGAATGATGCTGGATTTTAATGGGTATTGCATTGAATTTGTAGATTGCTCTGGGCAGTATGGCCATTTTCACGATGTTAATTCTTCCAATCCAAGGAACATGGAAGGTCTTTCCATTTCCTTAAGTCTTCAGTTTCCTTCTTTAAAATTGTAAAGTTTTAATTATTGAGGTCCTTCACCTCTTTGGTTAATTTCTAAGATTTTTTTAGAAGTTCTTGAAAATGAAGTTGCTTTCCTCATTTCAGTCTTGCTCTTCTCATTGTTGGCATACAGAAAAGATACTGATTTTTTTTTACCCTGTTCTTTGCCAAAGTTTTGAATAAGTTCTAGGAGCTTGGGAGAGGAGTGTATAGGGTCCTTTAAGTACAGAATCATACCATCTGCAAAAAGTAATTTTATTTCTTTCTTCCCTATTTGGGTCCCCTTTACATTTTTCTTTTGCCTTATTCCTCTTGCTAGGAATTCCAGTAATCTATTGAAGAAGAATAGGTAAAATAGATTTCCTTGTCTTGTTCCTGATTTTAGAGGAAATGGTTTTAGATTTTCACCATTAAGATAATGTTGGCTTGGCATATACAACCTTTATTATATTGAGTATTGTTCCATGTATTCCAAGCCTTTTCAGAGCTTTTATCATAAAGGGATGTTGGATCTTGTCAAAGCCTTTTCTGTATCTATTGAGATGATCATGTGATTCTTGACCTTCTGTTGATGTGTTGCATTGCATTTATTGATTTATATATATTGAACCAGTTTTGTATCCCTGGGATGAATTCCAGGGATGAATCCTAGTATATGATTTTGTTTGTTAGTTGTTGAATTCAGCTGGCCTGAATTTTATTAAAAAATTTTACATCTATATTCATCAAAGAGAAAAATGTATAGTTCTCTTTCTTGGATGGGTCTCTATCTGTTTGGGGATGAGTATAATGCTGACTTCATAGGATGAATTTGGTAGTGATGCTTCCTTTCTATTGCACTGAAGAGTTCAAGTAGTATTGGTATTAACTCTCCTTTGAAGGCCTTACAGAATGTGACTGTAAATCCACATGGTCCTGGGCTTTTCTTGGATGGGAGACCTTTTATTGCCATTTCAATTTCATTGCTTGTTATGAGTCTATTTAATTAGTTTATATCTTTTTTACTTAGTTTAGGTATATTGATGTTCTCTGGGAATGTGTTCATTTCTGCCAGTCTCTAATTTATTTATAATATTCTGAATTTTGCTTGTTTCTGTTGTGATGTTCCCTTTTTCATCTCTAATTTTACTTATTTGGGTGATTTCTTAGGTTTGCTAAGGGCTTGCCAATTATGTTAATTTTGTCAAAAAAACCAAACTTTTTGTTTTGTTGATTCTTTATGTGTATTATGTTTTTTATGGTCTCAAATTTGTTTATATCTGATCTAATTTTTATTTATTTCCATCTATTGGTTTTGGGTTTAGCTTGTTCATGTTTTATTAGGAGCTTAAGGTATGTCATTAGAGTATTGATTTGATATTTCTGTAGTTTGTTGATACAGGCATTCATAGCTTAAACTTTCCTCCAAGTACTGCTTTTCTGTGTCGCAGAGAGCTAGTATTTCATGTGTTCATTTATATTGAATTACAGAAACATTTGAGGTTCTCTTCTTATCTTTTCAATCATCTACTGAGTTTGAGTATTTTCTGTGATGGCTTTTGCTGTTGAGCTCTATTTTTATTCTGTTGTGGTAATTTCAATTTTCTTGAATTTGCAAAGGTTTGCTTTGTGACTTAGGATAAGGTTTATTTTGGAGAATGTTGCATGGGCTGCTGAGAATAATATATATATATATATTATGATGCTCTGGGTGAAAGATTTTGTAGTTGTCTGGTAGGTCTAGCTGATCAATGCAGTTATTTAGCTCTGAGGTTTATTTGCTGAGTTTTCGACTGGATGAACTATCTAAAGGTGAAAATGATGTGTTAAAGTCACCAACAATCAATTCGCTTGGATATATATGCATTTTTAGGTCAGGTAATATTTATTTGATAAAGTTGGGAGCTCTAGCATTTGGTGCATAGATATTTGGAATTGTTTGTCCTCTTGGAGAGTTCCCTCTATTAACATGTAATGTCCTTTGTCTCTTCTTAGTAATTTTACTTTGAAGTCTGTTTTATCTGCTATTAGAGAGCAGTTTGCTTGAAAGACTTTGTTCCAGCCTTTTATCCTAAGTAGTTGTCATTTAGATGTATTTCTTTTAGGCAGCAGATAGATGGTCTTACCTTTCATCCAACCAGCACTCTGTGTCTTTTGATTAGAGAATCGAGCCCATTGCTATTGTTAGAACTGAGAGGTATGTTAAAGCTCCTGTCATGTTATCCTCTCCCCCATTTTAGGGATTGTGTCTCTTTTGTTCTTATTATATGTATCTGTTCATCTGGTAGGTTCTGTTTTCACTGCCTATTTCATGTTCGTGTTGGTTTTCTGTATGTAGGACATCTTTGAGTATCTTCTGTATTGCTGCTTAGGTAGTGATAAATTGTTTTCATTTTTGTTTATCATGGAATGTTTTTATTTGCCCCTCAGTTGAATGAAAGTGTGGCTTGTATTCCTGGTTGAGAATTGTTCACATTTAATGCTTGTTATACATTATGCCAACCCCTCCTTACTTTTCAGGTTTCAGCTGAGAAATCTGCAGTTCTTCTGACTGTTTTTCCTTTGTAGGTAATTAATCTTTGCTCTCTGACAGCTTTACATATCATTTCCTTGTTTTCTATTGAAACATTTTGAATCACACGTGATGAGAAGTTATTTTTAGTCTGGTCTGTTGGGTGTTCTAAAGACCTCTTACACCTGAATGAGCTTTTCTTTTTGAATGTTTGGGAAATTTTCTGCTATAATTGTTAAATATACTTCCTATACTCTTACTTGTCAGTTCTCCTTCCTCAATACGTATCAGCCACAAATTAGGTCTTCTAATTGATTCATGAATTTCTTGTAAACTCTTTTCCTGTTGCTTGAATGTATTTGTTTATTTATATTTGTATGGTTTCCTCCTCTCTTGTATCTACTCTGTCTTCAAGCCTAACACTATGTCTTCCATTTCATCTATTCTGCTGGAGAGGTTTTCTACTCTATTTTTTGTCTTCTGTTTGCTTCTTTTTCTATCTTCTTATAGAAATCTTTTTAAAGATCTTGTATTGACTTCTTGACTTCATCGATTTGTTGATCTGTGCCTTCTTTCATTTCTTTTAACTGAGTGGCTGTTTTTTCATTGGAATCATTTGCCATCTTTTGCAATTGGTTTAGCTTTTATTTGTATTCTCCACGAATTGCTTTGGTAATTCTTCTCACATTCACAAAATGTATAGGCTTTCTATCTTTTCAACAATCATTCTTATCAGTATGTCTTTTAGCCCTATGTATGAAGTTTCCTCTAAAAACTTTTTTGGGGGTCTGGTCGTGGGGCCTGAACCCTGAACTCTGGGCCTGGGCGCTGTCCCTCAGCTCTTCAGCTCAAGGCTAGCGCTCTACCACTTGAGCAGTGCCACTTCCGGCTTTTTTCTTTTTGCTTATGTGGTACTGAGGAATTGAACCCAGGGCCTCAGGCATGCAAGGCAAGTGCTCTACCACTGAGCCACCTTCCCAGCCCTAAAAACTTTCTTTTCTAATGAATGGTTGCCACTTTCTAGGTGTGTTGTATTTCTTAAATTTCTCGTATTTCTTGTGTTTCTGTAATGGGCTTTACCCATTTGATGGCCTTTTCAGTATTGACTTTTAGGTGCCTAAGATCTTCCTAGTGGGTTGTTCTCTGTTCTCAGTTGACTAGGCAGACAATGTTTAGATGTGATATGTCTCTACTGGTCTGGGTATATGTCAGCTTTGCTACTTTATCCCAGCTCAGAATAGGTGAAATCCAACATAAAATAGGGCATCTTTGTTAACTTTTTCTTTTTTCTCTCTCTTTCTTTCTAACATTCTTTCTTTCTCTCTCTCTCTTTCTAAAATCCTTCCTTCCTTCTCTTTTCTTTTCCTTCCTTCTTTCCTTCCTTCCTTCCTTCCTTCCTTCCTTTCTTTCTTTCTTTCTTTCTTTCTTTCTTTCTTTCTTTCTTTCTTTCTTTCTTTCTTTTCTTTCTTTCTTTCTTTCTTTCTTTCTTTCTTTCTTTCTTTCTTTCTTTCTTTCTTTCTTTCTTTCTTTCTTTCTTTCTTTCTTTCTTTCTTTCTCCAGTCCTAGGGCTTGAACTCAGGGCCTGGCACTGACTCTGAGCTACTTTTGCTCAATGCTAACACTCTACCACTTGAGCCACAGTGCCACTTCTGGCTTTTTCTGTTTATGCAGGGCTTCATGCATGCTAGGCAAACACTCTCCCACTAAGCCACATTCCCTGCCTGTTAACTTTTTCTATTCCTCTAGTCTCAGTGTATGTTTATTGGATTAGAGTTCTTCTCCTGCTTGTTTAGGGGAGTCAGGCACCCACCAGATGAAAACTAGACCCTCAGGCTCTTCTCCTTATTGTATGGGCCCAGCTGGGAGCAGGTCTCTGGTTCCTCATGTGACTTGGAGAGATCTCTATATTTTGTCATCACCCTGTGGCCCCTGTCCTTATATGTGTGGTGCAGGGCTAGAGGCTGGAAGCCTGTGTTTCACTTAGCTCTATAAGCTTCCGTTTGGAGTGGAACTCTGAAATTAGAGCTCTATGGTCTCTTCCTGTTGGGTTGGAGCTACACTGGAGGCAGATCCTTCATTGGAGACTGAGCTCAGAGGCAGGACTCTAGTTTAGAGCACCACCTTTTGGTCCCTCTGGGTTTGGGTTCGATTTTGGCATGGAGCTCAGCTGGAAGCCTTATTCTCTCTTTTTATTTCAAGCCATAGGAGACTAAATCCTTGATTATAGGTAGGGGTTGAGACCAATGGTCTCTAACACTTTCCCTTGTCTTGGGCTCCTCTAGGTATTAATCTCTGATGTAGTTGGCAGGAGGCTAAACCCTTGCTTTCCCAGTGTAGGCTGAGTTTTGAGCTCAGAACATTGTCTCTTGTTTCTGCTCCCTCCCATGCCTTCCTATGTCCAGTGCCTGTTCTGAGCCTGGGAATTGGTTCTCCCCCTCCCTTCTCACTGGTCACATGGTGGTGGCAAGCATGCGACTCATGATCTTTTTCCTAGATTTCTCCTGTGAAGTAGTTTTCTGTTTATCAGTGCAGCTGCAGAGGCATTGGACCTTTGGTGGGTCACACTGAACAGAGGATGATGTGTGGTGAGTAAAGATTCACACCAAGCAGCAGACTGCTCCAAGTGGAGATCTGGAGATCTGGACCCCACTCAGTGTGGATCCTCACTGAGTAGACAGTGGAGTCAAGCAGCAATCTACACCCTGCTCCAAGCTGTGGGCTTTGGCTCAGTCAGCTGTGTCTAGATCTGGTTATGTGGTCTTGATGGGGTTCTTTTTTAATGCCTTTTCTCCTCTTTCAGAAGTATAAGTGTTTTTTGCTTATTTGTTTTTGCTGGTCCTGAGGCTTGAATTCAGGACCCAGGTACCTGAGCTTTTTTGCTCAAGGCTAGCTCTCTATCACTTGAACTACAGCTCCAGTTCTGACAGTTTGGGGAGTTTATTAGAGATAAGAGTCTCACAGACTTTACTGGGATTGAACTGTAATCCACAGCTTCCTAAGTAATCTCAGCTTCCTAAGTAGCTAGGATTATAGGCATGAGCCACAAACGCACTGCTGAAGTATTAAGTTTTGATGTTGCTTGATTGATGTGAGGCTCTGACTGCTTATCTTTGCCCAATGATCACTCTTGAGCAGGATTTCCTAATTAGAACTTGGTATTTATGATTAAGCAGACAGAGCTCTGCTATTGCCATGTCTCTAGTCCACCATGTTGGATCCTTCTTGCATACATTTTCATTACTCACTCTGCGTCTGTGTCTGTCTCTGTGTCTGTCTCCCTCTCACACACACATGCATACACACATACACACGCTTGTGTGACTGTCACCCATTGACAACCACTTATCACAGCCTACCCACACTAATTTAATGTTATGCAGATTGGCATGTCTGTGTTTTCCCACACTGGGCCTCTGGCTCCTTAGGCTCCTTTGGTCTTTTCTGGTGATCATAGAGACTCTCCAGTTGCCTGTAATTGGGAACAGTGCCAGGGTGAATGACCATGGCTACGTTTCTGTACAGAGAAGGTCAGGGTTCTAAGTTTTGATGACAGAAGTGGTTCTTCCCTCATTTAGGGAATAAAAGTGGTCTGCCCCAGGCCTTTTGAGTAGAAATGATGTCTATGGTGTGTCTAGTTGGCTAGCTCCCAAGTGGGAATCAGGAGTGTAGAAACAGTGTTTCTGGACATAGTGGTTCACACCTGTAATTCTAGCTACTCAGGGTACAAAAAAATCCAGAGGATTATGGTTTGAGGCCACCCCAGACATAAAGTTAGAAAGATCCCATTGCAACATATAAGCCATACATGACTGTATGTTGAAGTCTCCTGTGCTGGGTTCCATGTACAAGCATCATTTTTCTTCAATTATTTATTGAGTACCTACTATGTATCAGTTTCTATTCTATGCCCAGGTCCACATCTGTGACCTGTCAATAGAAAGCAGTATAGCTAAGAATTGTAAGGGACATAAAAGAAGAAGAAGGCTGGGCACCAGTGTTTCACACCTGTAATCCTAGCTACTCAGGAAGCTGAGATCTGAGGATCACAATTTGAAGTCAGCCCAGGCAGGAAACTCCAAGATATTCTTTTTTTTTCTTTTTGGTCACTTGTGGCACTTGAACTCAGGGCCTAGGTGCTGTCCTGAGCCTCTTTGTGCTCAAGGCTAGCACTCTACCACTTGAACCACTTCTGGTTTTAAGAAGTTAATTGGAGATAAAAGTCTCATGGGGATTTTTCTGCCTAAGCTTGCTTGGAACCACAATTCTCAGATCTCAGCCTCCTGAATAGCTAGGATTATAGGTATGAGCCACTGGTGCCAGCTCATGAGATACTTATCTGTAATAAACTACCCCCCCAAAAAAAAGAAGACAGGCTGGGAATGTGCTTAGTGGTCAAGTACATGCATGAAGCCCTGGGTTCGATTTTTCAGTACCATATAAACCAAAAAACCAAAGTGGCACTGTGGCTAAGTGGTAGAGTGGTAGCCTTGAGAAAAAAAAGGGACAGTACCCAGGCCCTGAGTTCAAGTCCCAGGACTGACAAAAAAAAGCCAGAAGTAGAGCTTTGCCTCAAGTGGTAGAGTGATAGCCTTGAGCAAAAACATCTCAGGGACAATGCTCAGGTCCTGATTTCAAGCCCTAGGACCAGCACATGTGTGTGCACGCGCATATGCGCGCGCACACACACGCATACACACACGCGCGCGCGCACACACACACACACACACACCAGAAGAGGTGAAAAGTGTTCAGCTGAGGAGTAGGTAAGAGGTCCATACTGACCAAACAGGCCCTGCCCAGTGGCCTTTGCACCCTGTGCAGGGCAGTCTCTGACCCTGCCCTACATGCTTTCTTCTGATAAAAAGAGTCCAGAAGCTTTTCTCCTTGCCTTGGTCACCTTGAAGTGGTCTAACTCATAAATGACAACTACCAATGAGAGATCTTCAGCAAGTTTCTTATATGGGGATTTCACATATCCTGTCCCTACCACATTGGCCTGTATCTCTGCCCTGGTGGGGGTTATGTAGAGAGGACTTGTCCTTCTGAACCTCTTATGGCCAGAGGTTTAAAGTGGCCAACTTAGCTGGGAGGAAGCAGGGCCCTTGCTCTGCTGGATCCAAGGGCCATTCTGGTGTGATAGAGGCCAGGTAAGTTGCTTCTGAGACCCATCCTAGCACCTTCTGCCCACACTCAGAGGCCCCTATGGCAGAGAACATTGGTGGGGTACCATCTCGTTTTAGAGGACCCCAAGAGTCAGAAGCTAGACTACAAATGGTGTGAGGTTGGTGTCTTGGACTATAATGAAGAAAACAAGCTGTACCTGGTGCACAAAACGGATGAGAAAGGATTGGTTCGAGATGAGATGGGGATGCCCATCCTGAATGGAGGAATTACTGCCAAAGGTATGAGCTCCACCTCTGCTCCATGAGAACCCCCAGCTAAGGTTAGCCATGGCTGGACTGAGGCCAACCCCACCAAGGGCACCACCAACACAGGTCTGAATTCCTCCCTCAGTTTAATCTCTGTCCGTGTGTCCCCTAGCCAGTAATAACTGAAGGACAAGTGATTCAGAGACTCCAAGATGGGCTAGTGACCATATTTGTCCTGTCAGCTCCAAACAGCTGGTAGCATGATATGGGAAAGATCCTGAAGCTCATCACTTAGTGACAATTGCCCTGAGTATGACATTAGTGACATCTCCTATGTTAGCTCCTTATCTGAGCATAGCTCTTTCCAGTTTAAAAAGCACTTTCCCATCCATGACACACTGTGCAGTAAGCAGAGCACAGAATGTCATCATACCCATTTCACACATTTGATTCAGAGTAAGGGAAAGGAAAGGCCACTGTGTATTAGTGACCTAGCTGGCTAGAGGGCAGTGCTTCAGCTCAAAGAGCCTGACTTTGTCCGCTTGTCTTTCTCACGTGGTCCCCAGGAAGGCCACCCCTTCTGCTCTGTCAGTACTGGGTACCACGGATCCAACTTCTCTTCTGTGCTGAGGACCCTCGCATATTCACACAACGCGTGGTGGAGGCTAATGCCCTGCGCAAGAACACCGAGGCGCTGCTGCTGTACAATCTGTACGTGGACTGTATGCCCTCCGAGGGCCAGCGGATCATCAGTGAGCAGAGCCTGAACAAGATCAAGCAGTGGGCCATGAGCACGCCACGGATGCGCAAAGGGCCACAGTGAGTCCCCATGCACTGCCTCCCTTTCATTGAGAAATAGTGTCACCAGGAGCATAAAGTAGCTCTTGTGGGGTCTCATCTGTATGGGGCTGTCTTGCCTACTCCATGTGGCTTTTGGTACCCCAAGTAATTTCTTGTTCATCTCCAGAGCCCTTATTGTCAAGATGGACTCATGGATTATTACTATGTTGAAAGGATTGCAGTATATTAGTATCATTTAAAAAATTTTGATGCTTATGTGTGGCTAGTGAGAACCTTTTCAAGCTAATCTTTTTTTTTAACATGTTGTCATTGTTATCTGAGTACTTCCTTTCTGGCACAGCAAGAAGTTCTACTTTTCTTGTATATTCTTATTCAGTCCTGAAATCAGCTTTTTCTCCAAGAAGACCTGGTTCCTTTCAGTGGGGAATTTAGAAGCTGAGATTTTTCCATTACATATGCTTGTTCATTTACCAAGAGGCAAAACTCATCTGTGGTGCTAGGCAGGACAGCACTTTGATGCTATTCCTTAGGGAGTGAGCAGGTCAGGTGTAAGAGAACTTGAGGGTCTAAGTTCCATTCTGACTGTTCACTAGGCTGTGATTTCAAAGTCAAATTTGTATTGTGAGAATGCATCAGACTGTTCATTATGCTTTGTGTATGTGAAAAATGTAGCAAAAAGAGTTTATATTAGAAATTACTTCAAGCAAAAAAAAGATTATGTTGCTATTGGCAAATCATTTCTTAAGATTCTTCCAAAGATAGATCTATGAAATATATACAATCCATGACATAATCTATTAAATATATGATACTATTATTTTATGACATTGCATTATCATATTCTATATAACATATGCACAAACTATTTTTTCTATGTCTATATGTGTCTATCATTGAAATTTCCTTCATTCCCTTTTACAACTGCATATCTATTGTATGTGGATGGCTCATGGATTATTCAACCATTAACCTATATTTAATTCATTTCCAGGTGTAATTACAAACAATGGATAGTGCAAGGAATAATCTTGTTCATACTTATGTTTGTGTTGATGATAGTATAGCTTTGGGGTAAATTCTTACAAGTGGATTGCTAGGTGCAAAGGTAAACATGTTATAAGCTCACCTGCAGAAAGAGATCAATAGATATAAGGCAACTGTGGGCATTGAGGAGATGAGGAAGACCAGGAAGCTGCAGGATGAAAGTGATACATGTATGTGTATGTCGGGAGGGATTCCTCCATCAAGTCAGATCCCTGAGAGTCCTGCAAGATAAGGATAAAGGTAGTGGCCACCAGGCTGTATAATATGCCTGTTCAGGGTATTAGTGGCCTATGAATAGTCTTAGTGAAAGTAGGTGAAGAGAAAAGGGAAGAAAGAAGAGAGAACACTGGTTACTCCATAAAGGCAGGAAAAAGGATGAAGCAGTGAATAAAAGGAGTGAGATCAATGGATAACTGGCAATGGGAGACATAGAAGTGTAGGGACTGTTAGGAGTGTCTTATAGGGGAAAGTGCCCAGCACATAGGGCACGGGAAATATGTGCTAAATGAGTGCATGAATGATTAACAAGATGGATGACATGGCTTTGAGGGGCCTGCTTGTGCTAGTAGAGATGACATGCCAGTGTGAGCTCCCTTACAGCCTGGTAATTGCAGATGTCAGAACCTAGGTTTAGGGGTGAAATGTGAGGGTCATCCACCCTTGGACCTAATCATGGTGCCACAGTCTCCTTGTGCCTCCTGGAAGCTGCTAGCTCTTTGTAAACAAGGATAGGCCCCTAGTAAACAGTGGCTAAATGAAAGCACAGGAATTCAGTGATAGGCATCTTCCACAGAACCCAGAGCCACAGGGCAGTGTGAGGGTGCAGGTACAGCTCACTGTGCCTCTCATCCCACCACTCTGGGGCCTTCCTTGACTCGCAGGGATTGGAAACAGCCAAGTAGCTGATGAGATCTATTTCCCATTTGCAACCAAGCATTGAGGCCATAGCAAGATGGAGGTGTGGCTGGGCCAGCTGTCAGTGAGGTGTCTAACGGTCCATGGGGGGAGTAAAGGCTTCTCTGAGGGTTTCCATTGGCTTCTGGTGTTGCCAGTGCCTCGTGTTCTAACAGCTTGCTGCACACCAGGCCCTGGGCTCAGTAACTCCCAGGATTAGTACCATCACCCTTCCAGGCGGGTACTGTTACCTCCCATTTCCCAAGGTGTAGAGGGTTGAGTCATATACTCACTTTGTCACTGCTGATGGCCACACTGTCATGTCCTACTCTCATACTCGATGCCACCTGCCTCCATATCCTAGTTGAGATGTGCTGACTAGGGAAGGTAGGATAAAGAGAGTTATTGAGCTGGGCGCCAGGGGCTCATGTCTGTAATCCTAGCTACTCAGGAAGCTGAGATTCAAGGGTTGTGGTTCAAAGCCAGCCTGGGCAGGAATGACTGTGAGACGCTTATCTCCAATGAATCACCAGTAAAGCCAGAAGTGGAACTGTGGCTCAAGTGGTAGAGAGTTAGCCTTGACTTTTAAAAAAGCTTAAAAAAAAGCCCTGAATTCAAGCCCCAGGACTGGCACAAACAGAAAGGAAGGAAGGAAGGAGGGGAAGGAAGGAAGGAGGGAAAGGAAGGAAGAAAGAAAGAAAGAAGGAAGAAAGAAAGAAAGAAGGAAGGAAAAGAAAAGAAAGGAAAAGAAAAATGGTCATTGAATCACAGACTCAGGAGGTGGAAATCAGGGATGGCTTTTTGAGAAAAGTAGCATGTGAGGGGAGCCTGCTAAGAGGAAGCAGAAACACCCAGATAGAAGGTTCCTCAAGAACAAGAGACTGGGTAAAGAGTCCCTTGGGTCTAGAACAGAGACACCTGGATGGCAGAGGCTACTCTTGATGCTGGCCACATGGGGTCTGAGCCACAAATAGGTTCTCTTTGATTCTTTATATATGTACTCAGCACCTGCATGCTGGCATCTCATAGAATGCTAGGTCCTGTGCAAGGCATTGCGGAAGTTACCATGAGCTGTGCACCCAGTCCTCCACACTGTCCTCACCCTGTGTCCATTGTCCAGAGGGGAGCAGACATGGACAGTATCAGGAGTATTATATTTGGGGAGACACTTTTGGACTATAAATAGGGCCTACCCTCATCCAGAGAAGTTAAAATGTGCTCAGGACAGAAATCTCAAGGCAGGGGGTTGGGAAGGTGGCTCAGTGGTAGAGCGCATGCCTTGCATGCATGAGGCCCTGGGTTTGATTCCTCAGCACCACATAAGCAAAAAGAAAAAAGCCAGAAGTGGCTAGTGTGGCTCAAGTGGTAGAGCGCTAGCCTTGAGCTGAAGAGCTGAGGGACAGCGCCCAGGCCCAGAGGTCAGGCCCCACGACTGGACCCCCCCCCAAAAAAGAAAGAAAGAAAGAAATCTGAAGGCAGGGGTCTGGGCTGTTCAGGAAGAAGAGGGAGATGAATGGATAAGAATAGCTGCCAGAGGGAATGCAAAGGCTCTGGGGTAAGTGAGGATTCTGTGCACCAGGAACTCAGAGGGACCACATGAGGTAGAAGCTGAGTGGAAACAGGGAGAGTGGCTTTTATTGGAAAGAACTTCTTAGATTACAGGAAGAGGCCAAGCTCTGCTTTAAGAACCGTGTGTGTGTGTGTGTGTGTGTGTGTGTGTGTACACACGCACGCTCATGCCAGTACTGGTGGTTTGAACATAGGATCTAGTCACTGTTTCTCAGCTATTTTTGCTCAAAGCTACCACACTCTACTACTTGAACCACAACTCTGTGTCCAACTTATTGGTGATTGATTAGAGATGAGTCTTACAGTCTTTTTCTGCCTGGGCTGACTTTGAATCATGATTCTCTGATCTCAGCCTCCTGTGTAGCTAGGATTATAGGCAAGACCCACTGGCACTCAGCTAAGAACCGGGGATTTTTAAGCAGAAAGATGTGATCAGGGGGGCTGGGAAGGTGGCTCAGTGGTAGAGAGCTTGCCTTGCATGTATGAGACCCTGGGTTCGATTCCTCAGCACCACATAAGCAGAAAAAGCCAGAAGTGCTGCTATGGCTCAAGTGGTAGAGCACTAGCCTTGAGCTGAAGAGCTGAGGAACAGTGCCCAGGCCCAGAGTTAAAGCCCCATGATTGACAAAAAAAGAGATGTGATCAGATTTGAGCTTTTTAGGGCATGGATTGGAGTGGGGATGGGGTAAAGGGACCCTGTACTAGAACAACAGTACTATAGCTGGGCTAGGAAAAGAAGAAGTGGGAAGCTAAATGGACAGACTCAGGGAAATGATGCAATGTGGCTCAGGGCCAGGTTGGGATATACCCAGGGATCCAGAGCAGAAGCTCTAATACCATGTACCAGTCAGTGACAGAGGACCCCCCGGACCTTGGTCTCTCTTTCTCCATGGGCAGAGTCCTTGAGCATCTCAGCAACCTCACCAGAGAAGTGAGCCTGGACTACGAGCGTAGCATGAACAAGATCAACTTTGACCAAATAGTTGCCTCCAAACCCGACACATTCTCCTATGTGACCCTGCCCAAGAAGGAGGAGGAAAAGGTGCCAGAGCACGGTAAGAGTCATTGAACTCATGGCTGTCCAACTGGCCAGAGCTCTCTTCCTCTAGACATACTTGTCTTACCACTGATATCCTTATAGGCCCAACACTTCCCTATACCCACCAGTCTCCAGCATTTATACTCTTCTTTTATTGGTTGCAAGGAGATTTTTAATCAGAGGAGCAGGAGAAAGGGCCTTAAAAAGTACTAGTCTGGCTAGACATGATAGTTCCAGCTACTTCAGAGACAGAGATCAGAAGAATTGTGTTTCAAGGCCAGCCCAGGCAAAAAGTTAGCAAGACTTCATCTTAATCAACAAGCCAGATGCGGTGGCATGCACCTATACTTTCAGCTGTTCAGGAGGCAAAGGTAGAAGGATCATAATCTGAGGCTGGCCCAGAAAAAAAAAAGCAAGATCTTATTTAAAAAAAAATAACAAAAGCTCAAAAGGAATAGGATATGACTTAAGTGATAGAACCCTTTGCCTAGCAAGGGAAAGTCCTTGAGTGCAAACCCAGAGACGAAAGAGAAAAAGAAAGGAAGAAAGAAAGAAGGAAAGAAAGAAAGAAGAAGGGAGGGAGGAGGGAGGGAAAGAGGGAGGGAGGGAGGGAGGGAGGGAGGAAAGAAAGAAAGAAAGAAGAAGGGAGGGAGGGAAGAAGGAAAGAAAGAAAGAAAGAAGAAGGGA